TAGATGAAACACGAGACGAGACATTCTCTCAACGCTGGATTTATCCATCGTTGCAATTTTAACCCTGTGAAATTTCATCGTTGCTTCTCCAAACAACATTGGGAACAAAAACAAGGCGATCTTTCATCTCAGACGCAATTTTTATATCCGTCGATGCCATTTTTCCTTCGAAACGCTGCTCGTTTTTCTTTTTTTATCGTGGAAAATAAAATGGCTACGACGATCTACTAAACGAGAAGAGGATAACCGTTATGGTGCCGATTACATTCGGATTATCGAACTTTTATTGAGCATCGTCGATTCTTTTTTTCCTTTTTTTTTTGATAGCCAATATCGAACACGTGTGGAGTTGGATATCGATTGAAAATAAATTCCAAATCTGTCATCACATTTGAGTTTAGCACGAAAAATTTCGTTCCTATTACCACTCGACTGCGATTGTTACGCTAAATTTGCGGATTTCCGTGCGTAGAATTCCGTATAATCCGCAATTTTATTCAATTCCAAATATATATCATTTCAAATTTATTATATTTTATATATAATAGGTTTTTTTCGAATTGTGAAATGTATTATTTTCTTTCAGAACGATGGAAATTTTCTTTTTTCTCTTCGTTTTATATTTTATTATATTTTTGTATGCCATCAATTCTATTGACCATGGTTCTTTTGATGTCAAAATTTTTTTACTACCATCAATTCTCTTCCTTTGACACGTTTACAGTGCTCTTTTTCATATCCTTAGAACGTTTTATGCTAAGTAAAACATCTCTTTTTCTGAAGATCTTACGTTATTTATCATTATTGAAATTCTTTCTTTCTTTGCGTTATTTATATTCCTTTTTATTATATTTTATTGAATAATTTCGAGGAGACAAAGATTAAGGAATATACTTTGACCTTGCTCCATTTATCGAAGAAAATAAAAATGTTAATTTACAATCTTTCTTTATCATGAAAACTATTACATTACACAGGCAAAATGCAAATTCTGATCTTCCTCTAATTCAAACTAAAATAAATAAATATCCGTTCTATGAACACAATAATGAAATTTTTTACTGTAATAATGAAATTTTAATTATATATATATACACTTTTAATAAAAAAATTAGGTATCTAAACAAATTACAAGGAGACACTGTCTTAAACAATGTACGAAATCTACGATCAAAGTTTGCAACCAAATTAGTAAACCAAGTTCTTGTAAGCGAATTTCCTATCGCCAAATTGAATCAGGAATATAGATTCCTGGCGATGTTGGCACGATCGAGAAAAGGAAATGCACAAGGATTAGAATATTGGCGATAGTCCAGAATCTACCAGAAACATAATTTCGAAATTCTACCATCCCTTCTCGTTCGACAAATTGAAGCACTATTCATTGCTCCAACATTCAATTACATCAAACACGTTTTTATCTTATAATTGTGAAACAACTCGAGTATACTTTCGAATTTCTTTTTTTTTTTAACAATTTCAACGTCAATACGTGTTTATCAATTTTATATTTTCATACAAACCACCACTTTTAAAATTTGATTTATATTATATCGATCCAACTCTTTACTTATTTGTTCAGCAAATATTTATCGACCAAAAGGTAACAAAAAATTTTCCCATTAAATCCTATTCCACTTAAATCACACTCCCGGCAAGAGCCTATTACTCCAACCTGCGTTTCTCAGAATATAAACTCTTCTCTTTCGCCCACGTTTCGCTTCTGATTCGCGAAAACAATCCATAGCTACCATAGCTGACGAAAGCCAAGCATTAACCACCCACAAACTGTTGCGGCATCATCCCGAGGATGATGTCACTGTTTGATATCCCCGTTTAATAAATGCATCTCCTTGTTAAAATGGGTCACGATAGGCACAGATAAAGACCAGAATAAACCGTTTCAAGTACGTGCTACGTTTTAACACCGGTTTCAACAACAAACAAATCCTATCTACCCTCTTCGAAATTCCTTGACAAAATCAACTATCGCCTATTCCTCGAAATAAAATCCTTTCCTCGATTCAAAGAGATGAATCTGAAGCCAGCTGTTCCAAGTCGAAGAAGGGGAAAAAACTTGGTTTTCCTCACCTCGTAGTAATCTTCGGGCCCCGTGAACGCTTCCTTGTGGACACGAAGCTTAAGCACGTGGCCAACTGGCACCACGACGTGGGGCACGTTGTTCACCTTGTCGAATTGGTGCCTCTTAATCTCGTGGGGATACTTCTGCTCGAACCAGTTGGCCTTGCGCTCGTCGTAACGACGACTGATCACCGTTGCTGCGGTGCTGGTCCCCTCTTCGCCGACGTCGTCGAACACCAGATCGTCCTCCTGCAGGGTGAGGCCCAGCACCGCGGGCGCAACGAGCAGGAAACACGCGAGGACGTAAGGATTCTTCATCTTGCGGGGGAGTTATCCTCGGTCGCTGTTATCATATCATGCTGAACTGCCTGGAAGTGAATGGAAAACACTCTTTTTAATTTTTCGTTCCAATTTTCGTTTCGTAATTTCTTTGTTCCTCGTTTCTCTTTTTCCTTTATGGGATAGAAGATTTGTGCGAAATCGTGGAAATGCGTGTTTGGAATGGAGACCAAATTGGGAGAGATATAGTTTAATTAGAATTTATTGGAAGTTTTGTAAAATCGTGTAATTTTAGAATTGGAAATTCTAAGATTTGCTATATGCTTATGCAAGGTTTCGCGATTGGTGAGTCATCCATGATGATCTAAGGCTAAGATTAATAGGATATTCTATCGTGGATGCGTTTCTCGGATCTTCTTTGTTTCTTTTTCCTCCGACACATTTTGCACGCGTGTATATTTATCCATATTCGTGATAATATTTATAAATTTTTCTTTCTTTTTCGTTTTTTTTTTTTAAAAGAAATAATCAAAGCTAACGTGATATAAATCTTGCAAGAACAACAAATAAGGATTATCAAGAATGAAAAATTCTGAAAAAGCCATGCAACACGATTATATCTTACTTATCAACATTAACATGTAACCACTGTTTACACTTTGTTTTTATCTTTATTGATTCGCAACCTGACGCACGAGCTGCTTAAATGCAAACTGATAAAATGAAACGAATCACGAATAAGGACGGTTTCAATGAATATCCCCACCTATTATGACAATGTAAAAATAGTAATGATAACAGTGCTCCGCTATGATCACATAGGATCACGTAGGAACTATGCGATAGTACCGATACCGTTCCATGTTTGATTGATCGTTAAATATCGTCACGTGTTGTTAGATCATGGCGCAAAACAAATTCGCGTCCATCACGCGACGACTTTTATCGGGGGCGATCCGTCACATATTCGCTAATCGTTCGACAAAAATTCATATCGCATCGAATTTCTATTAGAATTTCTATCAGACATTGATGTACAAAGATAATATATAAATATCTAAGTTTCTTTAAGGTTGGCAAAAACTATTAAAGGCACGACCGATTTGTTTTAATTTCATGAAAAGAATATACGAAATTTGGGAAACGTAAATTTTTTCTCAACGTGATTAATTTAAATTTAAATTGCGTTTTGAGAGAATTTTGGAATTCCGAATTTTCGATTGAAAAGCGTTTAATCGTCCCCCCGATCGATTCGTACAGGCTGCTGGGTTTTCCCCGGCGTTTCTCAGTAAGTCATTTTCTCGTTTCCATTGATCCAGTTCCCGTAAGCCCGTTTCCATCCATGGGTATTTAAACGAAACGAACAATGGGAACGTTTCGGTGAGCGAATGCGTCCAAGCATCCAAGGGCCAATGATAGCCAATAAAGCCTTCCATCGCATTTTTATTTCCTCCCTTGGTTGCCTCGCTTGGCCGTGCCATTAATTGGCGGAGCCAGACAATGAGAACTTCAACGGTTGAGCCGGCGCTACTCGAAATGCTTTTCACGAGGGGAGGGGGAGGGAGAAATACAGCCCGACCGATGGGATATTCGGCTACCGATCTTTCTCGATCGATGACGGGGAGAAAAAGAAAGCTTTTGTCGAAAGTTATGAGTGATCGGTTGTTGTTGATCGACGTCAACAACCGATCCTTATTCGTCTTGGATTATTCGTTCGGTATATGTTGATGGATATTCAGCGATTAACTTTATCGATTTCTTTCTCTCATATTTTTTTTTTAACATGATAAATCAATACACGTTCTGCAATTTCTCATTGAAAAAGTAGCAAGGAAAATGTTTAATTCTTTGCAGTTTTTTTTTTATTATTATTAAGATATAAAGAAGAAAGTTTTGTATTTAAATGAATTTTGATAAAAATACATGGATGCTTCATCGATTGTAAAAATAGAATTGAATCGTGACTCACGTATCGTATAAATATATATATATAAGAACGATCCATTACCAAATCGTTAAACGAATGCAATCCTTGTGACTGTTTAATACGATGCGTCGCATTCAATCACAATGACATTGTGACTCACTTCGCTTGATTCGCCTTTAACCTCCCCCTCCCCACCCATGATAACGCGATTCACGGTAATTTCTAACAATACGGTATTGTAAAATAGCCATGACCCTCCTGCCTCTCCGATAAATTTATCATTGTCGTTTTTCGATATTTATGAAACGAAGAAGAATCGAAATCGACGACCCACATCGAATTTAACGAGCGGATAAATCAAACACCCAGTTACAATTATAAATTGTTATCGAGTCAATTAGAATTGACAAATTGACTTCAAACGTAATCCGATTTGGAAACTTCTCTTCTTTTTCATATTCACCTCTTCCTTAAGTTTCGTTATCAATTCCAAATTAATATATACCGTGAAAATTAATTAATAATTTGAAAAAAGTTAATAGGGAAACAAAATTTTAATTCAACTTTACGAAACGTAGCACGTATTTCCAATTTTTAGCTAACAAAATTTTCCAATGCAATTTCTTCTTCGTATATCCAAATTTCATGGAACGTGATATTTTCAAATTTTCGTATAACTTTCTAACGCAACTTTTTTTTTTTTTT